ATTTTGGTCCAAGAGGTCATATCGGTCTGGAACAAAATGACTGCCAAACAAGAAGAGCAATTTACATCGTATGAATCTGATACCAGCTCTCAGTTTCCTTCTTAATGTACGGCCAAGTCCCAGATCATATTGCCTAGGTTTCTTACAGATGGGATTAGGCCACTCATGACCTTTTGCCGGTGGCTCGAAAACAGTGCCTTATTGCATGCGTAAGAACAAAAGGCAAAGTCTTTTCTCGATTAGCATCAACAACCGGGACCGCGCCTTCCGTGCGTGAACCTTTATGGGGCCTTTATGCCGTCCGCTTATCATTCAGCCTTCAACAAGCCACAATATCAAAATATTTTTCCTAGTCGAATCTTCACTTTAATTGACGCGGTATTATAGATTTATTACTGAAGTTATTAGTGTTTAATGCTACGTAAAGCAACATATTTTGAAGGTTAAACGATTAGCTGCGGATTTTCAATACTTCATCCATGCAGATTATAGGCCCGTCCCACACGTGCTAGTCACGCACAACCGCAAGTATTGCAACAACAACGGTGCCCTCCTCCGTCAATCCAGCTAGTAAAGAATCAAAGTAGGTTGAAATCACAAATACCCTTCGAGTATGGGGGCGGGGGTAGATCGCGTGATAATCGACTTGTAGTTGCTGTTTGCAACCAACAAGCAGATCTAAAAACACGAAAAAAACTGGAAACACGAAGTTCAGCCTTCAAAACTCCGGTAACAAGAAGAACGATTTGGGGCATCGTACTTGAATTTCTAAGTACTTGTCGTTTGCTATTATTTGACATGTTCTAAGGTATTGACACGCAAGCATCGCATTAATCCTCCAAATACGATCCCGTCTAAAGACCGATTATGTCGATTATACAGTGCCAACATCGAAGGGATGCTGAGTCAAGAAAGATAACCTCTGTTCCATAGATGGCGACTGCTCGAGGCTTGGAGCATTGCTTGTTTTGGAAGTGAGCCTCCCTCCTAGATTCTGAGTTACCCCCTACCCCCTTGTTGCCCTCTTTGTTAGAGAATGCAAGGAATTGGCTGAGACAAAATGTCTTTAAGAACACCTTTTGAAAAGCTCGCCCTGTAGTCAGAGTTTCTACTCAAAATGATTTCGCGCGAAAAAACGCGCGCTTTAGGGCGAATAAAGACTCTGGCGGTAACTGACCTGCCCCATTGTCCCCGACGCTACACCCCTGCAAAGACCAACATCTTCTGTCTTCGGACCTTTTATCGAGAGATTTGTATCAAGGGCAATCACGGTTAGCATATAGCGATCCTTATTTAGTGCTTTAGGAATCTTTTCTGTTGTGTTTCAAAACAAGACGACCCTTCCTTCCTTTTCTTTTGATATCCTTTTGAAATACTCTAAGCAAACGAAAGGGGTTACTTTTTGACCTTCTCTAAGGAAGGGCAAGGCGCTACGTATTTCACGCGTTATTGCGGAACTTAACAAACACAACAAGGAACTGATGAGTAAACGTATCGTGAAAGACAAGGATGTGTTGGATAGAACACCCCCTCGGGAAACCTTGCCTAAGGTGCTGCGGAAAGCGATAGCGAAAACAGAGGTGAAAACGAACCGAAAGCCTGGAAAAGAGGTGCAAATTCTGCTTTCCTTTATTCGTAGCATGATGCATTGTGCCTGGTGTTTGCATCATCCAAAGAGAAAGAAAAACCTCTGAGAAAAAAGCTCTCTTCACCTTCGTAAGTGTAATTTGAGCTTCTGATGAAACAGTTATGGCTAACAGATGATTTGTTTAACATTCAAAGTTGAGCCAATCCTGTGACATTTCGCAATATTGGCACTTGATGTGCTGATAAGAAAAACGAAAAACTTATCAGAAATACCTGAAAATGTTAAATCTGGAAGCTCTCAGAAAAATCTGACTGAAACATCGAATCTCATAATACAGTGCACCCCCCAAATGAGTTTTGAGGTTGACACAGATTTCTGGCACATAGATATGGCCTTTGGTGCATTGACAAAACTCCATTATATTTATAGATACGGTTTCCTTCACTGAGGTTTTGTATAATCCTAGTTTGACTACATCATGTCGACCACAGACCTTACAATTCTTTCGTTTAACCCTAAATGATTTGTTATTAATCCTATTCCCTTGAAAGCAATTAAAAATCCACATGAACCTCGCAATCATACCATGAACGTTATCAAATTTATAAACTGCATGACTTCCAAATAGTACGAGGTGACAGCAAGTCATATCTCGAAACGACAAGTCCATTCATAGATTCTTTTCTGGCCTGGAAACTGGACTGATCCAGATGCGGTATTTGTTAGGTGTTCGATGGCATTATTCCTAAGTAATTAATGGTTATTAAATAGAAACCTTGATGTCAAAGATGGGGCAGCCTATTCAAGAGGGGGCTTATTCAAGAGGGTAATTATAGGTGGTAATAAAATTATTACAGTATGTTGTGACTTTAGGTGACTGAAATAGAAGCTTTTTCCTTTAACATGGCTGTATAATAATTTGGTCCTGATCTTTGGTCCTGGTCAAGCAGCCGTTCATGATCCAGTCACCTAGCCTCCCCTGAGCCCCTTGGGATTACACCCATGATCCAAGGGGTTAGCAAATTATTAGAAAAGTGGCTTACTATTATCGTTTTGTATGCATGAGAAAACTTTCTTATTAGAGCTTTTCTAACTTTTTGTTTCATACAACCATCTTTGAGAACTCAAATTTGGTGTTTGAGAAGTTAAAATCCAAGTAATTCAAGAAGCAGTTGTGAAAATGAAAGCAATGTGAGGTTTTCTCTAACATTTTCACAAATTCTCCTGACGTCCTCATTTTATTTCTTTGGTCCACTTCAAAATTATCATTAGGCTTCTAGTTTTGATGGATCAAGTTTTTTCATAAATGAATGAACAAAAAGAAAATATCACAGTTAGCAGAAATAGTGTCTTTGCTGTTTCAATATTGATTAGCTGATTCTATATCAAACAAAGGACAGGTGAACTCCTTTGCCTGGCTTATTTTGGAATTAACAGAAAAAGTGATTGACAGCCACCTGGCTTCCTATGAAATTTTGCTTCCTGGAAAACAATACTCTTGTCTGCTCTATCAGTTTCAGCACAGAAAGAAAGAGTGTGATGTTTTTCCATGATGGAGGTAGGGACAGGGCAAAGTATACTATGATCTCCACAACATTTCTTGAAAGAATGAAAGAAATTACCATTTTAGAAGATCTTGGATTAAATCTTTAGATTTCTAATTGAATCCAAAGGCTACATTTCAGAAGTTCTAGTTAGAATAAAACGTTTTCTGGTGGTTCTACTTATCACAAATTATAATTGCAAGTTGCATGGCTTAATTATTCCAGAACGTTTATAGATACTCCTTTGCTCATGAACATGAAGTAATTTGAGACCCTGTGAGTAACTTTTAAACAAGTTACCTTATGTTGATAATGCCAAAAACAGAAAAGTTGGCAGTTGGCATTGTCTGCTGGGAAGTATATATGTTACCAAATGTGAATTGGACAAAATTGGATCTACACCAATGTCTTACCTATATATTAACATTTTCGACAGAATGTGGGTATGACCTAGTGTGATTATGAACAGTTTAAGGATGCTACAACCTTTTTCGGAATGGAAAGAAAGTTTTCCCCTGCAGCTCTCTAATCCTTGATTTTAACAATTTACAACTGGAAAAATGAACTTCCCAGAAGAATAAAGAGGGGCACCTACAATGATGCCACTACTTAGATAGCACAGGAGTTAAAGAACAAATATATATGAGCAATCTGAATGACAAAACTTTTTACAGGATTGCATTACGCTGTGAGTCTTAGAACCAGGAAACTCACTTTCAATATAGAAATAAGGCTAGGTTTGAGGAAACTGACAATTTCACTGTCTGCATCATACAATTTCTGACAAAGTTTTCATTTTCATCAATTTTACTGTTTACGTACCAAGAAATTTCATAACTAGGCAACTCTTCAAGACACACAAAGACGTTTCATCTCTACATTGTTCTGAGAGCTTTATGCTTGGTTTGGGACTTAAGTTCCTGAGAATGGTGGATTTTGGCAAGTATTCAGCAGATATATTGCAACTGTGCCACAAAATTTCTAATTATGACAGTCGCATTGTAAATTGTTGGAAACTTGTTAACAAACTATATTTAGTCGTTCTTCCCAATATCATTCTTTGAAAAGTTAGTTGAGAACGGTGATGGTAGTAGTATTGACAATAAATCCCAAAATATCTGACGGATTTCGTGTGCGGAAAGCTTGCCAATAATCTCTTGCGTGTGATCATTTCATCAAGGCGCGAAGTCAATATTTTATTGTTAGCAACGAAAGGCCAATCTTCACGCTCGATGATTAGGATCAAACAAACTAGTAGTTCGAAATGTGTTGACATTAGGAGGGCAGAGGGGTACTGAAAGAACAGAAATACGACTATACAACTTGTGTTGAAATGGAAGCTTAAAATTTAAGGGAATGCGAATCATCCCAAGATACTTTATGGATGGTATCCATTTAATCGATAATATTGTAGTTTAATTCATATTTTAAGTCCAAATCCGGTCCTGAATTTAAATTTCAAAGGGGGTTACAATTTCAGCCCCAGCGTGTTACCCATATTTCTACATTGCTATTATTTTGGTAACTTTCTATATTAATATCTGAATCCTTTATACAACATCTGATTATCTGTGTAATTTTCCCAAACCAATTTCAATTATATAAGGCGGCTATTTTGAGTGTACAGAAAAAAAACGGGTCTAATTTTACTCTAAAGGCATCTTAAAGTTAATTTTCATTCTTGATGCATTACGTTTTCTACGGAAAGGATGAGTAATAGCATGAATGATAGGCGTAGTAACGAATGTTTGGGCAACCATTTGCGGGTTCGGCACATGGCTATTAAATCAAAATTATCAATGCCAAATTGAAGCAAACTTAATATTTTCTTTACAGAAATATGTTTATAATAAACGTTAAATACTTACATCTCGTTTCTGATGTTCCAATTTAAGCTTGGGGCGTATGATCTAGACAGTGCTAATTTTAAAAAGGAGGCAAACAATAGCAGACGAAGGCCGATCATTTTGAAATTTCAAACATCAACAATCTGACTTTCCGTGTAGAATAACCTTACTAGCTCAACATTCAGTCTTTTTGGGCTTTCAGTTAACTTGCCCAAGTCGCCTTCTTCCGCTTTCGGTTTTCCAATCGGTAACTTTCAATCCGTTCTGACGGTTACAACTTCATTTGACCGTATGTGTGTGGCGTATCGTACGTTCGTCGCCTCCGCCTTCGCAAGACAATAGATAAACGCATGTTAAATTATGCTAAATTATTCACTTTTCATTGATAGCCTTTGATTGTAAATTCCATTGTTTTGTTTGCTGTTGTTACGGTTGACTCAGCATTTCTATGATTTCTGTTAACCTTCTCACGGATGCAGCAACTAAAAGAATTCAACATAAAAAGTTGCAATTAGAGTGATTTTGAAAGTGTAAAAAACAAAAGCCACAATTGGGATGCTTCAAAAAGGAAAGGGGGATTGACCCAGAAATTTCCCAATTTAATTTTGAAAACCATATACCATATCAACGAAAACAGTTACTAATCTGCATTCTATCAAATTTCAAATTTGATCAACCGTCCAAACTTTGACATCATTTTCGGCCGATGGAATCACATAATTAGGACCGAATCTTTTGTTTCGTGGAACCGAGGCCATCCCCTAAAGTTACGTCAGGTTTGTCCCAAAATTGTTTCCTATGGTATACACTTGGTAAAATACCCGTGATACGGGTTATTGGACAATTTGGGACAATTTGTCTCCAACCAAAGTTTATGAATTTTCCATATACTTTTTCCTTAAAATGCGTGGAACTATCATATGTGTAAAATCATATCGGCATAAACAATTAATTTCAGTAAATAAAGATCTAGGAACTTGTCACTGCTATTTCCAAGAACTAAAAGCTGACACCCATTGCTGGTGGTTGTTACGCATGAGTTCTGTTTATGGTCCCTGTCAATGAGCAACCATGCAAATACAATGGCTTCATCATTTGCACCATTGATATGTGGCAGCTGTAAACAGTTCCTATTTCGGGTACCAGTAAATTTGGGTACTGTATCTTTAATCTTAATTAGCAATGGGACTTAACCCCCAGTCCCCATTTTACATTACTGGCAGTATTCTTTATTATGAATGTGGACCAATTCAAGGATGAAAATGGGGAGCGTTATCCTATCAACAACTATTCTAATATAAACACCTAACTCTTTGACCCAAGGATAATGACTATTGCTTCCCGTTGAGAACGTTGTTCTTCAGTAAGATTTCACATACATCAAAGAGGCCTTTGCTGAAATGGAAATGAAAAATGGATAAATTACTATACAACTTTCATCTTTTCATTTTTCAGCGAAATAACAAATATTTTCATACTTGTGATCAGCTCTTGATAATTAATTGTACCCTCAAGTTCAATTGCTAGAAGCTTGTCAAAAGTAAGGCAAAGGTAATGCCGACCTACGCCTCCGGGGCTAGCTAATCTTACTGTAAAAAATCAATGTAAACGTGAATTTTATTAAAATTAGCGTAGCAAGAATTTTATGGGTCCTTATGGGTACAAGGAAAAACAAAAGCCCTCCCTCAAGTAAACTGTTCTGATTGATTCTGCCATAAGGCCTTTGAAAATTTGAGACTAGGGGCTTTACAACAAGCAACACAGAACAGATGTGGGTCTTCTGTGAGTTTCAGAGGTATGAAATTATGAAAATCATAGGTCAGGGCGTTATTATTGAACACAGTAGTCACTTGTGCTCTGAAATGTATATATATATACATAAATATAATATAAAATAAATATAAATCATGAAAACCGTAAAAAAGCCTGGCAGAAGGGGTCTCTTGGGCTGATAGGTGGAGCGAAAACAAAAACTATTTAGTGTCTGTCTCTCGTACCCACTTATTGTTGTTTGCTACCAAGCTTTTGGAGGTAGTAGGACACTGAAAAGCTTTGCTTATCGAGCAATGTCCTGGTTCTTCTTCTCGATGTGAGTACACCTCTCGATTCCTACGCATAGAATGTCATGTCATAGATTCGAAAAACAGGCCCTTGGATCTGTAGTCAGCGGCCCTAACCATCAAACAGACTGATTGCTTATTTCCATGAAATTGGCCTATTCAGTGATAATCTTCTTGTAATTATTATGATTATTTCACAGCACTTGATATTATCAAATTTATCGTAACAGTTCAAAGGATTAACAGCCCGATGACTTTCCAGAAACTTGGGTCATGTGACCCAATTGATATTTTTCCCTAACGTCAAGAAACAATAAAGATTCTGGTAGTTTCATTCCCATTGACCGTTTTAAAGATTTCCTATCAATGAAAAGGAATATTTTGGTCTCGAAACTATTTACAACCATAATGCACAACGCGGAAAATGGTCAATTTTTGTTCACTTTCTATAGAAAAATTTATATTATCTTGAAGCCCCTAAATTCGATGCGAGATAGCCATGCCGGAAGGTAATAAAACAACTTTTTTTCTAACATATTAAGAATCAACAACAGACTAGCAGTCAGTGGCGAAGCTGGCCTTAAGTCAATGGTCATGCTTTGTATGGGAGAGAAAGGGGATGGGGGTCTGGGGGCATAGCCCCCAGGAAAATTACACACAACCACACCCTATAGATGCTCGGAAAAGGGGGTAACGCCCTTTTTAGTATATTGAATCAAATAGCTCTTGTTTAGATCGCAATCAATGATGTCAAGGACTTCAACATCTAAATGTTCTTTCCACCCCATTCTCCAATGTTGTGTTTTGGAAATATCTTTGGGACAATGTTTTTGAAAAATTGTGCATTTGAAAACTCCCAACAAACACTACTGATCATACTGGAAAAACATTGCAGATGAGAGAATATTATATCTACAAATATTTTTCAAAATCTAAACTTTTGATAAATCAGCTTATTTAAATCAGCAAGGGCTAAGAAATATCCATTCTCTTACTATTAATTATTGACACTTTTGATGATGTTTCTGAATTAAGATGAATTAGGCAAGATAAGCCCTCAGTGATAGGTAGGCCCTCCCTTGTTTATGATACAGGGAATTGTGGGATGCTTGTTTCTTGGTTCAGAATTTTATACTAAGCTTCAATTTTATAAGCTTAATTTTTACATATCTAAAACAAATCTATCAAGGATAGTACTGTTTAGTATATACAAAAAGTTTTGACCCCTGTATTTAAGGTGTAACATGCCATAAACATCAACAAGTTAAGTCCAAGCCAAACATCAAGGGCTTTCCTATAACTTTGGTCTTCCATGTTTAAGAAACTCCATAGTTTTCCTGGCAACCGAAAGCCCTGGGGAAATCAAACTGCACTGAGAAAGTTGGCTGTGTGGAAGCTACATATATAGTGTGATTAAAAATCATTTCTAAATTCTATCCATCAGCAAATTATAGTCAAATATCCAATAACAGGCAAGTTCCAAAGTGCAATTTCATTATCATCATCAAGTCATGGTGTAATATTGAATAACAGGCAAATTACAGGGATACAATACATTTGCATTGCATAGGGTACAATGCAAATTACATACATGTATTAACAAAAGTTATAGAGTAATATTGAATAAACAAGCAAATTTAAGGGCACAATTTCATTTATCAACAAAAGTTATGGTGTAATATTGAATAAACAAGGAAATATAAGAGTACAATTTCATTTATCAAAAAAAGAGTTGGTGTAATATTGAATGCAGGCAAATTTCAGGGTACCATTTCATTTATCAGCAACAAGTTATGGTGTAATATTAAATAACAGGCAAATTGCAAGATGCAATTTGAATTTTATTTTATACACAACAAGTTATGTTGTAATATTGACTAAACAAGAAATTTTTAAGAGCACAATTCTTTCTATCAACAACAGGTCTTGGTGAAATATTGAATAAACAGGCAAGTTTTCAAAGTACAAGTTCGTCCCTCTCAGCAACAAGTAAGGTTGTAATATTGAATAAACCAGAACGAATGGACAGGCAATTTCCATCCATCATGTAAAATTCCATCCATCAGCAACAGGTTATTGTGTGATTTTGACAAAACAGGAAATTTTCAAGAGTACAATTCCATGAGCAAGAGGTTTTGGTGAAATACTGAATACACAGGCAAGTTTCAGGGTACAAGTTCGTCCATCAGCAACAAGTTATGGTATGATCAGCAACGTAGTGGTAGGATTCTTCATCGATAAGGGTCGGCTTTGGTTTTCAATTACAATTTTGGTTTACAATTACCTTGCTCAGCCACACGCAAGTGATCCCTGTAGCAGTTAATAAACAATATATCTCTCGGAAATAGCTTCGATTGAATTTCCCCACTCCCTTGCAGCAATGTTTCTCAGCTCACAAGTAGACCTTAGATACTTCATGTATGGGAGATTTAGGTCGGTCATGCTGAAAAAAATGAGCATGACTTGGGGTCCAAAACGGGCCAAGATAGCATGCGCAAGATAGAATTCAGCCAATCAAATCAGTGCTAGGTTTATGATTATAATGACGAGGTCATGCTATTCCAAATGAGCATGACTTACCGCAGGGATACCAACTGAAAAGTCATTGAAACTCAGCCGACTCACAGGAGCGGTTGGGCTCTCTGAGGAAAGAAACCCTATGGCAGGTCATGCTCTCCAGAATGAGCATGACTAGCCACAAGGGACCAAGGTAGAGAAGGGCAGTGAAATAATAAGAATCAACTGGAAATATGGAGTTTTGAGGGTACTTTTTCAATAAAGAAAAGTTTTAATCATTATAATAAATTATAAAGTCTTTAGCTCTGAAAATTTTTAGTCATGCTCAGCATGACCAGCATGACCGCTAGCTTCGCCACTGCTAGCAGTAACTATATTCTAAAAGAATAACTACATAGTCAAAGACCGAGATAAAACATTTTTGTTTCAAGGGGGGTGGCAGCCCTGATAAATGAGTGTAACAATAGCCATTTTTAAGAATATAAAAGTATCTTGCCCATTAAACTGAATATTTGTTGCGAGGGGACAAGGCCCCCCTGTATCTCGGTTTTTGTATGAAGTGGCAAGGTAGATTTCCTTTTGTTTTATAAAGAGCAGCTGAATTAAGTTACTTAATCACCTCTTTCAGAATAAAATGATAAAAAGGCAGACAGGAAAATATTTAACAAAATGATGCCCTAAAGTTGAGCACCCTGAATCATCTTTATACAGATCAGCAAGATATTTTCGGTAATACGTCATAGAAACTTCTAATTAATGTCT